CAGTGGCTGTGACAATGGGCTCAAAGATAGGAATGAGTGTGAGTGTGGTTCAGGACAGGGCAGGGTTTCATTCTGTTGTTCATAGGGTTGCTATGTGTCTGAACTGACTCATCAGCACCTAACAACAATCAAGGCTTGTAACATTCATTTGGTATACTCAGCACCCTGTGTGGTACATATCAGAGGCTTAGTGATCATTTTCTAAAATAAACTCGACTAAATGAAAGAATCAATATACATGTGAATAAAATTGTCACCAAATTTTGTCCTAAATATTTCCTTCAATTCAAAGTTGATATGGCACTCAGCCCCTTCTCTTTAGGGGTTTCTGATCTGCTAGGAGAGGCAGATATGTTCAAAAGTATTTTAAGATCAAGCTGACAACGATTAGAGTACAGAATGTAAAGGGGGATTTAAAGAAAACGAATTCTGAATGTCGGACTTAGGAAGTTACCATCAAAGATTCAGCATCTGAGACTGGCTTTGAAGTATTGCTGGGACTTATCCAGGAAGAAACTCAGGTAATGGGCAGTTGGAGTCAGGAAAGCTCTGCATAGCATAAGCTAAGTCAGATGGAAACTTCATGGAACGCCGAAGGGCAGATATTAAAGCCTCCTTTTCTTTCTGATTTCCTTGTCACTGCTCTCATTTTCCAAATATTTGCCTCTGGTTTATTCATTCTACCTCCTGGTGCCTCAGTTGATTTCTTCCAGGAAAAGTCTCTCTCATTAGCATTTCTATGGGGAGCACCTGCTCCTTCTTCTATTCCTCCTAACTGATGGCCAGGGCAAGGGGGTTTACTGGGAGGGGAATTTTAATCCCTGCCTTATGCCTCATTTCATTCTAATTGAGAATGCCAAGTATAAAGTCACAAATGCCTGACCAGTAAAATCCATCCTTAACATTAAAAAGGGTAAAAAACAAAAATAAAAACCAAGCATGCTTCTCAGTTTTATATCATCTAAAATTAATGTAGTAAAAATAATCAACCTTCTGATTATGAATAATTCCAAAGTATGCCTCAGATACCACTTGAATGTAAAAATACCAGGCTAATATAGATAGATGTGTTACGAATTACATGAACTGCTAAATAAGAGAGATTTCTCAAAATCACAGTTCCATAAGACATTCAATGTCCTTATCTACTGACTTTGTATTGTAGGATAGAATAAATTAGCATGTATATATATGACTTTGGTTGCTGAATATTTTTACACTATAGATCAATATGTTTAGCAGATAGATTGCTTTTCTGTTCTCTGTTTAAGGAAATGGCTTACATATATGCCATGTGACAGATGCCATCTGTAAAGTCCAAGAGATGAACCAGTCACTGAGATCTAAATGCACCATAACTAATACAGGAAGAAAGAAGAAAAAGGTTTGTAACTAAATTTTCATTCAAATGAGTCCAACATCATTTCTAAGGCAATGTCAGACTCATCAACAGCAGGCATGGGTCCTACTCAAATTCAGGAAATATCCCAAATCATAGTAAGAGAAAGAATACATGGCAATACCAAAACACAACAAAATCCACTGCCATGGAGTCAATTCCAAATCATACTGATTCTATAGGAAAAGAGTAGGTTTCTGAGACTGCAAATCTTTACAGGAGCAGACTGCTTCATTTGTCTCTGGTGGGGCTGGTGTGTTTGAACCCTCGACCTTGTGGTTAGCAGCCCAATGCTTAGCCCAGAGCACTGCCAGGGCACCTTAATGTAAAGCAATAGAAAAGAAAAAGCAATGTTCTAGAAAAACCTATAATACCCAGGCATATTTTTTCTTTATAGTATATTTAATTTATAGAATATTCTATTTCTTTATATCTATTTTCATACATACATTTCCCTATTATTGCCGAATCTTTCTTCTGGGACAAAAAATACTGTTAAATTTCATATCAAATTTGTCATTTACTTTAAATTGTCCTTTAAAGAAACTGATATCTTTCAGCAATATTCATTCTGTTCATGTTTCAAAACTCTCTTGGTCATGCTGCAAAATAGCAGTATTGTTGTTGTTGTTGTTAAGTGCCACTGAGTCGATTCCAACCCATAGTCACTCTGTACAGGGTTTCTGAGGAGCAGCTGGTGGCTTTGAAATGCCAACCTTGTGTTCTGCAGTGCTGATTCTACAGCGCCACACCAGAAATCCACTGCTGGCCACAAAGTGGCACTGCTGGCCACAAAGTCAAGTAGATAATTAAATCTTACAGAAGACTCAAATTGTAAAAACAACATTTTGTTGTTGTTTGAGATGCTCGGATATTTTTCAGGATAGGTTGATGGGATTCCAGTGACCAATGAAAAGAATCCTCATTCTCACCAACTGTGGGAGTGTAGCCATCTCCTACCTGACCCAATCACTTTCAGTCCATATGTAACCTTAGCTGTGAAGAGTTGCTTTTAAGGTATTGTTTTGAAGGAAGAGGCTGTATGGAACAAAGGTACAAACTAAAATATTTGGAGTGGGTTGTATTTTAAAGGGGTGGTCCACTCTCTGACCATTTGGACAATCATCCATGAACAAAACAAATCCTGCCAAGTTAGAAACAAAACTGAGTAGGGCTACCCAAGGAAGTTTGAGAATCTGGAACCTCTTGGTTGCCATTGACCGCATGGAGGTGAAGAGGGGTAACTCCCATCTGGTGGGTCGTAAAATACCACCTGCCACAGGGAGGTAGAATGGGATTAGGAAGAAGAAACCAGACCAAAAATCTCTGAAGTTGGGCCAAATTTAGGAATCTGAGGCAACGAAATAGAGCTTATCAGTAAGAAAGTCCTGGAGGGATCAGAAAACTACATCTTGGCTTTGTTTTTTTATGACCCTTGCTTGTCTTTCTTTTATTTTTTTGATCCTCCCTTGGTAGCCGTATGAAGATATCGCGAAAGTTCCATCTCCTCTTGGCTATGAACCAAGTAAAAGGATATGTATCCTTGCTTGATCCAAAGCTTTAAATGGAAGCAGTATACTCCTGGGGGACCAGTGTGGTCATGATAGCAATACACCAAAAGAGATATGCCAACAGGGAGCTGGAATCCAGGAAGATGGACTAGGGGCTAACTATTAGCTGCCCCTTCTCTCTGGGAAATGCTTTCCAGAGTTAAAACCTGGACGGAAGTAGATTTTGTCTTAACAAGAGAGGATGCCCACATATGAGGTTTTTTTTTTTACCTCAGCACATGAGGACGTGTTTGTCATATTCATTATAAAAGGACATCAATCCAACACAAGCCTTCATACAGGGTCTTGGCAAAGGACACTGACTGCAGTCCTGCCCATCACACCCTCCCATAGCAAGGAGGCAACTGGCTGTGGCATTGATAAAGACTCCCATACACCACATTTTAAACACCTCTTGCTGAATTGCTCATCATGAATATCTGTCCCCCAAGAGACCCGAAGACCAAGTTACAGGTTCAGAGTCAACTGTGATTTGTTAGCTAGTTTATTTGGGTTGAAATATAAAGGGCAAGACAGAAAGCTAAGCATTCAGAAATACATATTGGATGGATGAAGGGTGAGAAAACAGGCTGGAAGAACAGGCTTAGGTCACTGCAGATGGAAAATTCTAGAAGGACATTGAGCGAGACAAAGAAAATGTTTCTATGCTTGAAGGCATTCATTTATAAGGGTCTAAATGTGTTGAAGAAAGGGTCTTTGGTAATGAAAGGCAGAGACACATCTGGAGAACATGAAGAGAGAGAGAAACTAAATACATTAATAAGGGAGAAGGCTGTTGAGGTATATAGGAAGTGGACATTAGAATAATGAGACATCAGGTAGAAAGTAGGACTGAAATCAAGCTTTTTAAGCAAAAAAAAAAAAAAAAAAGCTCTTTTCCAGAATCATCTTATTTAATCCTCACAATGTTTAGCCCAGTGCCTGTTATATATTGTGTTGTGTGCCTTTGAGTCGATTTCAACTCATAGCTACCCTATATGACAGAGTAGAACTTCTCCATAGGGGTTCCTAGGTTATAACCCGTATGAGAGGATTCCTAGGTTATAATCTGTATGAGAGGAGTGTCTTTTCGCTCAAAGAACTGCTGGTGTATTAGAACCCCTGACCTTCCACTTTGCAGTTGAGGCTTACCTATCGAGCTACCATGGCTCCTTGTTGTTGTTGTTGTTGTTATGTGCCTTGGAGTCGGTTCCGACTCATAAGACCTTGTACAGGGTTTCTGAGGCTATAAATCTTTACAGGAGCAGAAAGCCTCATCTTTCTCCTGCGGAACAGCTGGTAGTTTCGAACTGCTGACCGTGAGATTAGCAGCCCGATTCGTAACCACTACACTACCAGAGCTCCTTAGCATATATACAGTATAGACTCAAAACTATGTTGACTATTTAACATAAAATAAATAAATGGGTAAGCAATCCTAAAATATATCTAATATTAATTGCATCTTATAGATAACTGAGACCCAGAAAGGTTTAAAACAAAACAAAACTTCCCCAATATGCCATAGCTCGTAAGAGGCAGAATCTGACTTCAAAATGAGTGGTAGAAGGAGGGTGATCTGTAAAGGCCCTATGGGAAATTAGAAAAGGGTGTGGTGCTTGGGTGTTTCCCAGGGACTGAGAGAAGAGAGGGAAGTATAAAGAGACAAGTGAGCTGAACTAGGCAGGATGGGCAACAGCTGAGCCAGCAAGGGGGCAGCATTCAGGGTAATGCAGCAGGTAAGTTAGGTGGAACAGGATAAAAATCGTAAAGGGCCTCTGCTGAGCAGCAGGTGTCTGAGGTGGGGCTGTGTGGAGAAAAGATGGCTAAGGTGGTGACGCGAAAACTGAGCAGGCTACAATGGATAATACTGTTTTCACACAGGAATGGGAAGAAGAGAAGCCTGCGATGGGAGGGTACCTAGGGTGGGGCTGGGGTGAGGCGTGGTCTAGGACAGGAAGGGAGGCAGGATGTGAGACTTGGCGATGGCGAGAATGAGTCTGGACAGTCCACCGGAGCGGGCAAGGATGACTAGGTCAGTCGCGTCTCACCTGTAGGAGCTGCTCACAGCACTCGCCACCTCTTCACGGATTTGCCTGTTGAGGGCGTCCGCCACCGCACGCCCCTTTCCACCCTCGGGGCCCGTCGCCTGGGCCTGGGCCTCTGGCCGCGGTGTCTGCTCGGGCCCCAGCCCTTCGGCACGGCGCAGCATCCAGGCGGGCCCGGCCCTCCTTCTTGTGTCGCGCTCGTCCCCACCTGACGCCTTTCCGGCCGCAAGACGACCCGCTCCGATAGGGGTTGCCTCCTGCTGCGGTGCATCAGCGGCGATCTGCACCGGCAAGCGCTCCTGGCTTTTCGGCCGGCGCTTGGGCGCCCCCAGGATGGGTTCTGGGGCCTGAGAGGACTTGGAGATCTGCATGGGTTTGGGGATCCAAGGGTGATCCCCCCGGCGGGGCAGCGGCCAGGCACGAAAGTCTTTTTGATACTGGGTCTCGCGCTCGAAGGGCGCGTCAGAAAGCTGGTATTCGCTGCGTGGCCGGCAGCTCGGCTCGGGCCTCTGCACCTTCCATGCGCGATAGTCCTGGCGCATCACTGAGTCCGCGGGGCCGGAGCCGGAGGAGGAGCCAGTGCCTGGGCCGCTTCGGGCCTGGGTCGCCGCGGCCTCTCGATCGCCGCTCGGCCCCGGTGTGGGCCCTGTTGCCCGGGCAACTGCATCCAACTCGCCCTGGGCCGGCTGGGTCTCTATGGCGACGGCGCGCGCCGAGGGGGGCGCGTGTGTTGGCTGCGCTTGTGGTTGTTGTGACTGCGGCGGGGCGCCGGGGTGCTCGGTGGCCTCTGAGTACTTGGTGAAAACCAACGGCACGGCGATGTCCGCCTTGTCCAACTGATTCCAGAAGCGGGCAATGCAGCAGGCCCGAGTGATGCACGGCCACGCCATGATGCTGGCTGCAAAATCTGGCTCCTTCCGCTCTTTTTTGTGGTTCTCAAACAAGTCTCTACTCTTCTTTCAGCCCTCAGGCCCCCAATCAGCCAATATGGTCGCCCCCGTTTGTTTTTTCCCTGGTCAACCTGAGCTACCTCGGTCTCCTACCTTAGAGAGCACCGGGGAGAGAGTGCCTGACCCCCAAGGTCGGGCCGGCAAAGCTGTTACTGAGAAAATCTGGAAGTCCCTAGATTACCGGTGGCAAACGGCACTGGAAGTCTCCAGCAAAGGTCTCAGAAGCGCAGTAGGCTGCGGGCGCAGAAGGGCGAGAGGAATCGCGTCCCCGAGTATCCAGCGAAAGCGTCTGGGACGCGCCCCTCCCTGCGGCTGCGGCGGCGCGCAGACCCCGGCCGAGCGAGGCGACGCTAGGCGAGGTGGCTGTAGGCTTAAGCCATGGCGCAGAGAAAGGGCAGGGCTGTGTGGCCTTAAGGTCCGAGGAGTGGCTCTGGTCTCCTCCCGGTCAGCGTCCGGGCGCAGACGGCCACCTAGCAGAGCTCGGAGGTGGTCACCTCCAGCGGAGTTTGAGGGTTGCTGGGTTGCTGTCGCGGTCGCTGCCCTTAGTGATGTTGCAGCCGCTGCCGCTGCTGCCGCCTCTGCTGCAGGGAAGCGGCCCCACCCTTTTCCTCCGCTTAGCAGAGGGGAAAAATCCAGGAAAGATGCTGAGAGAAAGCGCGCTGCAGAAAAAATCACCTGCTGTCGTCAGCGCGTAAGACTGGGAGCTAGCCTCTCTTTCCCGCCTCCCTCCACCCCAGCGGCTCCGCCCCTCTCTGCTCCTAGGCAACAGCAGGATCTGGAGCCTTTGTGGGTTCAAATCCTAGAATCATGATGACTTGCTGTCCTTGCAGTTGTCGCTTCACCTCCAGGAGTCTCAGATTCCTTTATTGTAAAATAAGACCAAGCATTGGCGAGGGGTGGGGGTTAGGAAAGGAAATTAAAAAATTTAAATATGGAAGAAAATCCTATTGAAATGCCTATCCTATGTTTAAAAACGGGGAGCTTCTATTATTGGCCAAAGTTAAAAGCTGGATTGGAACCCATTTTGGCTCCTGATTCAAGAGCTTGCCAGTCTTACAAACAGGCGCTGCTTCTTTTCTAGGGGATTCCTGGGGTATCTTAGACCCTCGCAAGACCCATCCAGTTCCGGTTCAGCTCAGAGGCCACACTAGAAGGAAAGAGGTAAAAGATGCAGGAAGGTAGGAAAAGGGAAATAGGGATAAAGCGCCCTAGGACAGAATAGGGTCCTTCTTGCAAGGTCTTCAGTGGCTTTGCTCTTTCTCTTCCTGGGGGGGCGGAATTGATTTTGGAGTTAAATAAACCTGGTGTCCATTCTGATTTGGCACATACTGGTGTGGCGCTGTGGGTTAATGAGCCAGACTGCAAAGCCATTTGAACTGCAAGGTCAGCAGTTCAAGCTCACCAGCTACTACTTGGAAACCTATAGGTCGGAACCAACTATACGGCACTTAACAACAACAACAACTGTATGTGTCACTTGGGCAAGGTGAGTCATCCCTGGGCATCTCTGAAGAATGGAAGAAGAGGGGGAGGGAGGAAGCTACTTTAAAATGGTTTGTGAGAATAGTTAAGGATTTAGAACAGACGCATCAGTCAAATCAAATCCTAGGTCTATGGTTATGGAAAAATTGTTGTAATTTTCTGAGCTTTAACTCCTCATCTGGAAACTGGGGTACAAATTCTCAACTTACAAAGTTGTTCTGAGAATTAAAAATGAATCAATGCATGTAAAATAGACACTTGAGTGGTATAAAAAGGAATGTTGGGAAGCATGATTAGAGAAAACTTGTAAGCCCGTCTTCAGCCTATAACTGATTGGAATACCGCAAAGGGGCTCTACAACTTGCCCAGTGAAATAGGCCTTGTACAAAGCCTTCACAGAGTATAGGACCTTAGGTGGAATCCTGAGTCCCATCCACAACCTTGTGAGGTGAGACATTCCCACTAGAAAGGACAAGCAGACTGGAACAGCTACAGTGACAGAAGATACATCTTCATGATGAACCTGACCTATACTCAGAGCAGTAGTTACTCTAAATACCAACACAGAGAGGGAAAGAGTCTTCAAATCAAGTATCAATGCTATCCACTCTGTGCACAGGGTAGATAGGGATGGGCAACTTAGACATTGGCTATCTAAAATGAGGGGACAATAAAGGCACGAAGTGACTGGCTTACAAGGTTTCAAGAGGGAGCTTAGTTAAGAGTGTGGGAGGAAAGGACGAGTCCCCACTGAATACTTTTCATCTTGTCTAGATGGGTCTGGTGAAAGGAGATGGGGATAAGATTCGTAAGATTCAGTAGTGAATAACTGTTATCATGACTAATCGCGACTGTCACAATTGTAAAGGTAGAAGTTTTGTAACAAAAAAAAGAGAAGTGATTAATCTTACAGTCCAGAAACAGAGGACCCTAGGACCATCAAGAGAGGAACACACAAATAGAATGTGGGACCTTATCCAGAGAAGCAGTAGCACCAGAGATGGAGGTAGAGATGGGGGCATGGAGGACTCTAGATTCATCAACTAAGAAGAGAAGGACTAAGAACTGGTGGCCAGGAGCAGACTTGCAGAATGTGCCCTTTGGAGATGTAATTTATTATATATGCCTGAGTGGGTTTTTTTGTTTTTGTGTTTTTTAAAAAGCTAAAGTGGATAAAGAGAAATACTTTTAACTGATGGTATATGGAGGGGATTATAATCAATGTAATGAAACAAGTTATATGAATTGTTGAATGTGAAACTGATGATGTGCCATGTAAACTTTCACTCAATCCACAATAAAAACCTTAAGTTAAAAAAAAAATGAATTAATGCAGAAAATTAATTAATGCATGAAAAGTACTTACCACAATATCTAGCATATAGCAATGGTTCAGTAAATAGTAACTATAGGACTCCTAGTCTGGTGTTGTAGGATAAGCCCTGGGCTGTGAGTCATAAGACCAGCAGTTCAAACCTACCAGCCGCTCCTCAGAAACCCTTTACATGGTCACTATGAGTCAGACCTGTACACGGTCACTATATGGCACTTAATAACAACAACATTTATTATTTAATTAAGGCATCTGGTGGCACTGTTGTTAAAGTGCTTGGCTACTAACCAAAAGGTCAACAGTTCAGCTCCACCAGGCACTCTGGGGGGAAAAGATGTGGCCGTCTGCTTCTATAAAGACTTACAGCCTTGGAAACCCTATGGGGAAGTTCTACTCTGTCTTATAGGCTCACTATGAGCTGGAATCAACTTGACAGCAGTGATTTGTTTTTTTGGAGTATTACTCCATTGGCAATTCAGTGGTAGAATTTTCACCTTCCAGGCAGGAGCCTCTGACTCAATTCCAATGCACTCCATGTGCAGTGGTAGTTTGGGTGCTACAGTTATGCTGAGCAGGTTTCAGTGGAGTTTCCAGACTAAGACATGTTAGATGATCTTCTGAAAAGTCAGCCAACAGCCGATGAAAACTCTATGGTCTGATTGCCAACCAATCATGGGGATGGTTCAGAATTAAGCAGGATTTAATTTCATTGTGCATGGAGTTTGCCATGAGTTGGGGACCTACTCAAAAGCAGCTAACAACAGCAACATTATTAACAGGAACATTATTATTCCAAGGATTCACCCAGCGAACCCATAGGTGGTACATCGCAAACAGGCTACTTGGACACTTTTCCAAGACGTAATCCTTTTCTTCCAAGTGTCTCTTCTTTGTTGTTGTTATGTGCCATGGAGTCAGTTCCAACTCATAATGACTTGGTATAGAGTTTCCAGGGAGCAGCTGGTAGGTTTGAACCGCCGACCTTTGCAGTTAGCAGTCCAGTGTTTATTCTACAGAGCCACAGCAGCACTCTTGGTCTCTTCTTAATGTCCCTTTATATCTCCTGCACTGTCCTCCACTCCTCCACCCAACTCCATCCATTGGCCTTTAGCTTTGTTTCCCCTCTATGTAGTCAGATTTTTCAGCATCTATTAAGTTGAGGGTGTTTCTGGGGGAGAAAGTAATTTTTGTGTTTAGATTGTGAATTGATTGCAAAAACACAGACGTCTTTAAAAAAAAACACATTAGTATTACACATGATGAGAAAACAGTTTTCATTAGTCAATTATCTGCTGAACTTCCTCTGACTTAGGTCTTTGCATCTTGGTGATTTGATTTGAGTTCCATAAATAAAATAATTCCTGATATTGTTTTCCGTTTCTTAGGAGTGACGTTTCTATAAACAGTATAATCTAATTTGACCCTTCCTCCCCCTAACCCTACAGAACTCTCTGAGATTTGGCTGATGTCTTTTCAGTGATGATTTCCAAAAGTAAAAGGAGGGACTAGAAATTGGAGGAACAGTGTCTATGCTGAGAGTCACTAAAACTTTAGTCTTCTTTCATTTAGCAAGTCTAGTCTTCTGATGCCTACTCTACTCTGTGCCCACTTTAGTACACTGATGGAGTCTACCTCTTGAGGAATCCTCATTTGTAGGCAGATGTTATAGACAGCTGGGAGACAGACACATAAACAACTACCAAACACTATGATCAGAATAAGAGAGGTTAACTTAAGATGCGGAGTGATTAATTGCCTAGAAAAGAGAGGAAATGCTTCATGGAAAGGGAATGTCAAAGGTGGCCTTAGAGACCCAACCACAAACCTCCACATAGCTGTATTTGAAAACTAAACAAAGAAAAAACATACCTCTAAATTAATTCATGGATTTAAAAGGAATTTATAATGAATATTAGAAAATGACAATACTGCATATTAAAGCATGTGGGATGCAGCTAAAAACAGTATTTACAGGGAAATTTTAGCTTAAATACATATGTAGAAACAAAGAAAGATGAAAAATACTCTAATAATTAGATCTGAGAAGTTAGAAGAATAGTACAAGGCAAACCCCAAAGACAGTAGACAGGAGGAAAATATAAAGGAGAAATATATACGTGTGTGTATATATATGTTGGTGTTTTTAGGTGCTGTTGAGTCGGTT